AAAATGCCTAACACACTGGTTATCTCTGGTTGAAGGTCAACAGCATGATAATGAAAAAAAATCTCGCACACTAGCACATAATGACGCCGTCATTACGCGGAGGGGTGACGTAATAAGCCAACGAAATGTCAAACTCAAAACCAACTCAAATTTTTCATTATTTTTTCCTAATAAAATGTGTGCACACTGCACACACACGTGTTTGTGTGTCTCTGTGTTAGCAAAATATCTCCTAAACCACAAAATAATATTTTTATGTGATTTGTAGGAAGTAATCTTTGGATGTACAACCCAATTCAAAAGGGCAACGTTGAATTGACACTAGCCAACACAAAAATGTTTGTAATCATTAAATTTTGCAGACGTGGAGCTAATGGTTTATGTGGTAGTAGCTGAGAATTATTCACAACAAACTCTCTGAGCACGACAATGATTTTAGCTTAAAACTCTGGCGTGACAGCTGGCAGGAGACATGCATTCCTCCAAGGAGGCTTGCTCATTTATCTTTCTATACAAGATGTTACGCCATAATGGAAACATGTTCCTCGTTTTTGTTTCGTCTTCCTGTCAGGAACTCCAAACAAAAACTAAGGAGGACAATTTCATACACCTTATAGGAGAGGCAGTGTGTGTGAATAGGAGGAAAACCTATTAAATTTAGCATCAGCAGAAAATGGTGCTCTTTGAGTGCCCCACAGATCTTCACTGACACTCAAGTTGAATGAATTAAGGATGTTGGAAGGAGTCAACCCTGTGGAGGCCGTGCTGTGATCACATGACCTGACTCAGTCTTCCACATCTATAAATGATCCACATTAAGCAACACAAAAACCTAACAGAACTAACATTGTGTGATCATCTTCATGCAATGATCTGGTCTGATCAGACAAGATTTCACAAACATTTCTGTTTGTTCACTTTTTCAGATCTCAAATAAAAGTCAATCCATTATCTTTACCCACTTCTTCTTTTTCGGGTCATGGGGGTCACTGGTGTCCATGTCCATCAGTCACTGTGAGAGAGGCAGGGGACACCCTGGACGGGTCTCCAGTCCATCACAGGGACACATAGAAACAAATGAAACAACTATTCTCTTCTGGGGACAACTTGGAGTTACCAATCAGCCTAACATGCATGTTTTTGGTCTGTGTGAGGAAACCGGAGTACCTGGAGAAAACCCACGCATGCACGGAGAGAACATGCAAACTCAACCCAGAAAGGTCCCCAGCTGGGGTTTGATCCGGTGACATTCTCGCTGAGAGGCGGCAGCTCTACCAACTGTGCCACCATGCTGCCCCTCAAATCAAAATAAAATGTAAAAACATTAGCTCACACCGAGAGTAAGGGACAAACCAACAACCATAATGTGTTCTCATTTATGCATCAACTTCAGTCATATAAAGTATAATTCAAATAATTACCTTCAGTATTTTAGTGGATAGAAAGAAAGTTTGGGAAATAAAACACCCCAAAAAGCAAAAGAGCAAACAAGAGGTTGTTCATTTGTTAAACATTGAACAAAGTGAGAAAAGTACCACGTGTTCAGCTGAGAACATCCAGCTTTGCAAACTATTCCTCACTAATTAATAGACTGTTCAGTCAACCAGCCGTAAAACAGTAATTTCTAAATCACAGCACAGCAACTGCTACTTAGCCTGACCAGCCTCGTATTTCTGCACATCTACTAAAATGTAAAGCTGAAGCAGCAACCTGAAAACAACCAAAAGAGCAGAGAACATTTATCAACACTACATGTATGCAGGACCCTGACACGTGGAAAACTATTTACTGGGGATGACGTCACGAGCGGCGGCACGGTGGATCAGTTGGTAGAGCTGTTGCCTTTCAGCAAGAAGGTTGCTGGTTCAAATCCCAGCCCGTGACTTTCTGAGTGGAGTTTGCATGTTCTCTCTGTGCTGCGTGGGTTTTCTCCGGGTACTCCAGTTTCCTCCCACAGACCAAAAACATGCATGTTAGACTGATTGGGAACTCTAATTTGTCCCTAGGTGAGAGAGAGATTGGTTGTTTGTCTCTATGTGTCCTTGTGATGGACTGGAGACCTGTCCAGGGTGTCCCCCACCTCTACAGTGACTGGTGGATATGGGCACCAGTGATTCCCGTGACCCAAAAAGGAAGAAGCGGGTAAAGATAATGGATGGATGGACTTCACAAGCACGTGAAAGCTTCTTTAGATCAGTCACCACCACTTGAAGTCACTTCATCATTACAAGCAGAAGCTGAGCATGAAGCTCTTCCAGACCAGTGATTCAATTTTCTCCAGCACTGACACTCAAGAGTGCTGACAACAGAGGAAGCTTAACCAAGGTGGCTATATATCACCAAAATTAAAGCAAAGTTCTGACGAACACCAATAACTAAAGAACACACTCTACATCTGCTGCTGGACTGACACATGGTAAGTCAATAAATGGATTATAAACAATCCAACAACTTTTTATTTCACCTATGAAACAAGTGCTTATGGGATTGTTGAACTTAATTTCTAGCTACCTGAAGCAGCTGGCTGTGCTGTGATGCTAACGCTAACTTGTATACAAACAGAGGAACACACCATACACTACAAAAGTGACATTTCTTGGTCTCACGTGAGATTGTAATTTTTTAAAGTTTGACCAAAAAAGTCCATTATTTCTAAATATTACAAAAATAAACACGTTACTATTGGGCAAGTGAACAAAAATACTTCTAATCTGTTTACTCTAGAACTGTCCAATTTCTCAATTGACTTTTCATCTTTTTGGTTTAGAAAGTGACACAATGGTTCAGTGGTTAACACTGCTGCCTCACAACAAGAAAGTCCAGAGTTCAATCCCCGGTGGACCTGGGGTCTTTCAGTGTGGAGTTTGAATGTTCTCCTATGGGTTCTCTGGTTTTCTCCCAGTCTAAATACCTACTGTTAGGCTGCCTTCAGGCCAGGGGCCATTCTAGAATATGACCTTTAGGGGGCTTATCCTCCAGTCATGACAATGGGTCTTTGTGGCCACTGGTGTCAGAAGTTTTCATAATGGGGGGGGCACACTGGTGTGTCTGGGGGTCCTCAACCAGAAATGCTTGAATAAAGTAGATTCCATTTCCTGCATTCTGGTGTATTTTAATGGCTTTTAAACATCTATGTTTACCTCCATAAGTAAACACTTGATTCAATAACTATTTCAGAGAGCTCGGCACAAGAAGTAGCGCTAAGCTAGCAGCGTGCAATACAGACGCGCTAGCTAAGATGCTACAGACATAGCGCTGTGCTTTGCATTACACAACCTAATAAAGACTTTGTACAGAATCAGTTTAATGTTAACTGATCATAACAAATAAACACTAAACTTATGCAACCAGAAGTTGCAACATATATCTACATTTAAAACAAAACAAAGCACAACTAGCTTTAAGCATTAATATTTAATTTAACCATTAGGCATGCAATGTAATTATGACAGAACATGGAGGATTTTCCTGCAGTTACCTTCGTACAGATGAACATGTGGTACTTCCCGTTTATCACCGTTGTATTCAGCTGCTCATGAGGTCAGCCGCAGGGCTTTATCATCTTTTACATGTTTCCAGACTCAGTTTAGTTTTTGGAAATGGAATAAACTGTATTCACCCTCTAAAGCAGCTATTCAACTAAACTGCTCGGGGGGCACAGTTACTGAAAGTCAGCAGCTCAGGGCCGGACATCCAGCAACTATCTTAATGGGATTTGCCTGCTTGAATAAAAGTTAATAAATCTTGACGTTTGTAGTGAGCAAAGCTACTGCAACCTGTTTTCTGTCTGACAAAGGCAGACGTGGCTTCATATGATGCTCAGGGTGTCAGCGTAGCTCTGACATGTTTTGCATATTTTAACATTATATTTAAACAAATCAGTTTAAGATTCTGGCAACTCTGTAAAAAATCTTGCCCACAAGCTGCTTGTTGATTAGGCCTGGTCTGTGGTTTATTGGAGTCTAAGGCAATAATGATACTGCACTCAATAATGATTTAAAAATTAGCAAAATATTGTGCGTAAAGTCACTCATCTCTCCTTTCTAAGCTGCAGGACAGAATATTATTAGAAAAATGTGAATTGCTGCTACCACATCAACTGTTGAAATGCTAAACGGCTCATGCTGGACATAAATATTTAATAGGAGATATTAATTTATTAATATTAAATAAAATTAAATCAAGGTTATGGAGAGAAATGATGGTGAATATGTTCTCAGCCAAAAGCAGAATGACAACGAGAGAGCATTTCAAACACATCAGAAGTATTTTTGAATTATTCATCTGGAAGCAGAGAACTTCAGCTGCTCTGCAATTAAATTTGAAAAAGTGTTAAAGTCAATTCCTCCTGCTATGATTCAGATGGTTAAAGGTATGATTACATATTTGACTGTTACTCCAAAAAAAAAAAAAAAAAAAATCTTTGATTTCATGGTTGTGAACTTGTGACTTTCTAGTCCACCCTAATAAAATTTAGTCTGTTAACAGGGGATGAAGATTTAAATTATAGCAATACCTATTTAATCCTTCTGGCTAATTGTTTTATTCACAAACGCCATTTCCTGAAAATTACCTCTAGGTTCAACATTTTTTTAAGTGAAATAATTTTATTTAAGGAAGTGTTTAAACGCTGCAACCTTCCAAAAGCCCTTATACAAGTATGTTAATAGCTTATTTTAAGACTTGTAACTCCTCTTGCATTTGTAACATTTTTTTGTTTTGCCGTTTCCTCAAATTGTTCATTTTTTTATTTTATTTTCTTCATAATTTCTGCTTAGTTTTATCATGTCAAATGTGAACTTTTTTTTTTGTACGCCTTGTTATATTGTGTTCTATTTTTCTTAAATTTTCAATAAAGACAAAAAAAAACCTTTAGCTGCTCTGAGTGTGTTTAACTTCAAGTTAACCTGTACCACTGGGTGGCTTCGGCTCCAGTAGTAAGAACATGTTCCAGTAAATTGTGGATTTGCCTCAGTTTAGCAGCACGTAGGTTTCCTCACCTGTTCTGCTCTTCTAGTTTGGCCAGAAGCTCAAGTTCATCAGGACTCAGGTTCTCAGAGTCTGCTGGGGATCCTGCTGGTGCCGACAGCGCTGCATCATGGGAGGAAGAGTCCGGGCTGAGCACTGGGCTGCCCGTTGATGGGGGGTCTGCGTCCATGCCAGGAGAATAGGGGCACTCGAACTGAGCCCCAGTGGAGCCCTCCTTTTCTGGGCTGCTGCTGGGGATAGACATGGCTCTGAGGATGCTGAGACGGGCGATGGGTGTTAACTACAAACGTCTCCAAGTCTCACAGCTGGTCCCCCCCACCCCCACCCCCCCAGGACAGTGAGCCCGGCCTGACTGGGCAGCTGGTGGGCCCTGGAGCCAATAAGCTCAAAGATCCTTAAACCTGCAACAGATAAAGAAAACAACAAAAAACACATAATTAGTTTTATAATCGTCAGCGTTCTGCCTCATACGAAATGTTTTTATTCCAATGTTCAACTAAAAACATGCAACTAGACAAAGATTTAGGGGCATTTTAAAAGTTGTCAAGCCAATGCAGCTCCTACCTGACATACACCAATTTTCTTCAACAAAAGTAAAATAAAGTCAGACTGAATCAGCCTTCACACAATTATTCCATTTTTAATTTTCCTGAATAATTTGTATTTTTCAAACTTAACACTTCTGCACAGTTTGTGCTATTTTAGCCATTCATGAAGTAAAACATTCAACTCATCCACGAGAGAGATTACTTTAGGGTTTTGTAACCGTTATACTTTTGAAAGTAAGCTTTCCCCTGCACCATAGCCAGACTCCATTACACGGTTATTTCAGCAGAAATAGTATAATATTCCTGCTGGGTGTGCTACTGCTAGCTGCTGCCGCCACAAACATTTGCACTTCCCAATAACAGAATTTTATTTAAAAAACAAACAAAACAAAACAAAAAAAACCTGAAGAATGATAATAGGGTTAAAGGTTTATAAAAATATGTTTGTATGAAAGGCTTTGAAATTCTGAAGACTGGAGGTGTTTAAAGACAAAAGCAATCCACGAGATCATGACCGTCAGATTTAACCTCCATTTGTCTACACCGAGGAAATTCCAAACGTTGTCTCAAGCAAGTAAGATATTAATTGTTCACAATGTTTCCACAGATGCTTACACAAAAGTGTCCAAACTATCCCTAGAAATGTTTCTTAAAAACTCTAGAATATAATAAGGAACGACAGTCCCCTTGTCTGGATTTTATTTGTTGAGGTTCTAAAAAAGTTAAATCTGGTCCTCTAGACATTCAAAAAACAAAATAAAACAAACAAAACAACAACAAAAAAAAAAAGAAACGTTTCGTCTTTCATCCGAAAGACTTCTTCAGTCTGAGGTGCTGTATTCAGCTCAGTCTTATAAATAGCACCGTCTCAGAGTGGATCAACCAGTTTTGCTGCTGACAACCAAAACCAGCTGATCACATGCTCAAGAAGGACCATCAGCCTAACAATGGATCATTAGCACACTGATGGCTGTTTACTATTCACAGAGGGCTGAGTGATACTAGCAATAACAGCATTGTAAGAGGGGGACAGTTGAACCCGGAGGCCTCCACCCCTGTTTAATGATGGACAGTTTCTTTTCACAAAGATGGCCTCCTTTACTCCTCTCTCAAACCATCGTTCCTCTCTATCCAGGATGTGAACATCTTCATCCCTGAAAGAGTGACCGCTGGCCTGGAGATGAGTGTAGACCACAGAGTCCTGGCCTGATGATGTTAATCTTCTGTGCTGGGCCATCCTTTTGGCCAGTGGCTGTTTAGTTTCCCCGATGTAAGACTGATCACAGCCCTCCTGACACTGAACAGCATACACAACATTACTCGGTTTGTGCCGGGGGACTGGATCTTTGGGATGAACCAGTCTTTGCCGTAATGTATTTTGGGGTTTAAAAGCCACTGGGACGTTGTGTTTAGAAAATAAACATCTCAGTTTCTCTGATACTCCCTCAACATATGGAATGACCACTGGTCTGGGTCTGGGTTCCTCCTTTTCACCTGATGGCTGACTGGAGTCCTGTTTGGGTTTCTTCTCTGCTTTCAGGAAGGCCCAGTTAGGATATCCACATTGCTCTAGAGCCTGTCTTGTGTGGGATTTCTCCTTCTGCCTGGCTCCTGAGTTAGTGGGGATGCTGTCTGCTCTGTGATACAGAGTCCTGATGACTCCTAACTTGTGCTCCAAAGGGTGATGGGAGTCAAACTGCAAATACTGGTCTGTGTGGGTGGGTTTGCGGTACACCTCAGTTTGCAAATGTCCTCTATCACAGACTGAGACCTCACATTCCAAGAAAGCCAATCTGCCATTTTTTACATCTTCTCGTGTGAACTTGATGTATTTATTCACAGAGTTGATGTGATCAGTGAAATGTTGGACTTCCTGAAATTCAGGGGCACCACCAAGTCATTGGTTCAGGTATGTTGATGACACCTCGGTTAAAATTAAATCTCAGGAAGCCAAACCATGATAGACAGCATCCAAAATCTGCAGGGTGCTTGTAGGAGCGTTCATGTAAATAATGTCACTGTAATCAATGGAGAGAAGGAAAGTCACAGATACAAGGCATTTCCTAGCGTTCAAAGTTAGACAGGATTTGTTTCTGAAAAATAAATCCAATTTAACTTTCAGTTTTCTTACCAAGTTTTCAACGTGGAGCTTAAAAGAGAGATGCGAGTCGACCAAGATACCCAAATATTTGTAGGAATCGACAAACTCAATAGGGACATCATTCAAGGATAAAATCGAGGGAAGAACTGCTGGGATCGACTTCCTGTTTGAAAACAGCACCCCTTTGGTTTTGTCTGTGTTTAGTACAAGTTTGAGGTGGAACAAATCTGACTGGATGATGTCAAAAGAAGAATGCAAAAGTTGGAAAGCCTTGGAAACTGTTCTAGCTCGACAAACAGCTGTATCATCAGCATAGAAATGTAGGGATGCATCAAGGATGGCCTGACATACATTACCTATGTAGATTGTGAAGAGGGTGGGTCCTAAGACTGAGCCTTGTGGTACACAATTGTTAACTGTTAAATGAAAGAAGTACCATTACGTTGAACACATTGCCTCCAGTCTGAGAGGTAGTTAGTGAACCAACCAATTGTGTGATCTGAGAAACCAATTTAACAAAACAAACAAAAAAAATTTATATATATAATTTTATGTATATATACAAATACATTATAAATATATATATGTATATATATTGAAAGACATTTGCAAGTAGTTTGCTTCCTGTTTCAACAGTTGATAATCACCCAGTCCTCTAAAATCAGATGTGATGAAGCAGAAAAACAGTGAAAACATGCAGGACAGTGGCTCTTAAGGACCAGAATAAGAAACATCTGAGCAACAAAAGAATGCATCAGTGGAGCCAAAGTCAAACAAAATGCAGTACTGTGAATGTGGTATCAAACTCTGTACTGGTAAACCTCAAAACAATCCTGATGAAAAATGATTGTGGCAAGAAGTTTGATGGTAATGTTCTGTAGCTCATGTAATAAACATTAGATGATACAGACAACATGATAAACAAGGAGAAGCAGAAACCAGGACAGGAGCGTAATGATTATCTGAACACTGCAGGACAAACAGACAATGATCACTTTCATACTGCAACCAGCCCAACCAAAGCAAATACAACCAGCTGCAGTTGATAGAAAAATGGTGTTTTAATAATTAGTCACAAATACAGTTTGGATAAAAAATTGTAAACCATCAATAAAAGCTAAATCCTGCAACACGCACTGAAGACTTCCCCACAACAACAAATACTGTAATCTGTTTGTTTCTTTAAGGACAGAAACAGAGAGGTATCCATCTTGTCATCGACTGTTCCACCTCAGTCAAAACAACTGCAGTGAGCTGTAATAAAACCCAGCAGCTAACTCCAGACAGCTGCACATTTTAGCCCCTGGTTCTCATTGACCCATGGAAGGTGAATATGAAGGACTCGTTCCCTCATCGTCACACAGAGATGCTGTGCAGTAAAATGAGATTCAACTTTCCACAGACAGATTAATCATCTTCACTTGCTTTGTAACAAAGATTCTTTTGAAGCAGTAAAACAGTTCTCTTAATGCTACTTTTGATCAAATGTGATATGTCTGAGTAAATATTTCAGAGGTAGCTGCCCACTTTGACTCATCTAGAGCCACTTCTGGCTGAAACCTGTATACTGCATTTCATCTGTGGAACAAAAACAGTGAAAGGTGTGAGTCATGCAGGACACTCACAGATGCTGTAAAGGTCTCTAAACAAGCCGGGTTTTCAGTCTTTGGCTTCTGTTCTGTTTATCACTACAGGCTCTGCTCCAGAGTTTTATCAGAATTCATTAACAGTGAATCTGTGTATCAACCACATGCACATTCAACAATACAGTATACAGTACACATCCCTGTTGCCATGAACACTTTCAGTGTTTTATGAATGTCTAAAGCAGGATGTGTGATTTGTAAATCCTCATTAGTGCTGAGAAGCTGGTACCCATCTGTCTGTCTCCAGCCTGGGGCAGGCCCAATAAGGAGGCAACAACCAGAAGAGAATGGGTCTCTTTAATCTGTTCACACTAGTAAAACACACTGATCTGTGTTTTCTTCAGACACACAGTATCATGTACTACTACGGATCTGATAATGCATAAATCAATGCATTAGAGATGAAGAAAAAATGAAGAACAGACAGAAATCTGATAATCTATTATCAGGTTTTTAAAGAGACCCGGCCTCTTTTGTGTGTATCCTCCAGGGCTTCCTTGCTCTTTGTTAATCTGTAGCCATCGACATCCCTGTACTTTTGATTCATGATCTCATGTTTGGTTGCTGACGCTTAGATTAGTCACATTTTTACAGCGTTCAGCCACTAGGCTGTCCTTGTGACTGCTGCCGGGCTCCACGCTGCTCAAAGTGCTCCATTGTGAGGAAGAGATGTTTTTTCTAATGCTGCTGCTCAGTGATCTCTCCCTTTCTCTCCATTATAAGAATAATGAGGCAGGCTAAAACCATTGGGTACTTCTCAGAGAACTAACGCATACAGTACATATTAATTCCACAGGAAGTATAGTGGTCCACTAAACTGCCATTAGTTGTAAAACCAGGCCTGACAGCATGAAGCTGAGGCCCAGATTCAATAAACATGTGCAGCCCCTGGTTTTTGCACATCATCTGCACCTTCGAGCAGCACCACATTCATATAGCAAATGGTACTAATTTTAAGGACGGCTCAAGTCAATCGCAAGTATCAGATTCAAAAACCAATCAATGTATATTTTACTGATTGGTTTCAAAGAACTTGCCACACTCCATTGCTAAACTCTGCTGTTGACCTATTGTCAATGGTTGTATGTCAGCCACACTGTAAAACA